CTGCGCGGTGCAGGAGCCAACCGTAAAGCCCTATAAAGCACTTATTAAGAAGCGCCAAAGTTGGCGCAAACAGATATGTTCACCCACATGGTAGTTCCTTACCCAAGAGGCTTATGTTTTGACAAAACGCTCATTACTTAGATCACAATAGTTCACTCGTATTCACTTACCTACCATTGAAAGATTGATAGAAGAGATGGGCAGATTGAAATCTGTACCATTTTTGACAAGAGCATGACCTTTGACATGAATTATCAGGTGCTTCCCGTATTACCGTGAGATCTGAGATTTACCTTGAATCATGGTATCCACTGCTCTCCTCATCCCCTTCCTACACACTCTTCCACCTTTCCTGGAATTTCCATCCCTTATTACAATCGTGAGGGGGGGGAGCATGAGTGAAGCGCTCTTGGTACAGAAAAAACTAAGAAAAGTCAACAACCAGAAACACCGAAAACACTTTTCGCAGAGGCACAAAGCAAATACGAACCCTCGCTGGGGATCCGCCACGTACGACGTGCCCTGATCTCAGGTTGACCCATAGCCACTGAGAAAGGAGTAATCTAGAGTTGAGCAATGCGGCGCTGTGACGCTTTCGGAGGAGCGATGATGCCATACCCAACCCTTACAAGGTATTACCTACCGCATCGATAGATACTTGCATCATCGTTGATTTGCCTTTCTCTGCATCCAAAGCCATTTGAATAGTATTTAGCTGGGCGTCCTTGAGAGCGATAGTCTGTTTGAAGCACTCTAGCGAACTCTGAAATGATTTGATCATGGTATGATGTTGTATTAGTAGCTGTTACTGGTGCTGGCAGTGGAGTAATATGTAACAAACCTGAACCATTTCCAGATTCTGGTCTTTCAATGCCAACTGACTCTGAAAGAACGCATTGAGATAACGCAGTTGTAGTGATAATAACGTCTTCAGATGGCGCTGTCTTAGCTGAGGGTGAGCACTCGACTGCGCCTCTGGGTCCCTTCCTCTAACCAAAGCTTTGGTTCACAGGTTGGACAACTAGAGTGCACGAACAAAATTTTCGTGGAGAAGACATGGTCTCCGTTGAGCTCGAGGCTGCGTTCATACTCCACGGCAGCGTTCACCGACCGTCAGCGTTTCGAATATCCGTTAACCTTACCGACTAGGGTAGTATAGATATCAACCTACAAAATGGCAGGGTCTACCAGCGTCCACCAGCGATCAAGTGTAGGGAGTATAGGGAGGTAGGATGGTAGCAGACTACTGGTAGAGCATCAGGACGCAAGAGGGGAGAGACAGCTGGATTATGAGTCGTGAAAGTCTGGCCTGTAAACCGCGCCTTAATATTACACAGTACCGTACTCCTGGAAGCTGGTGGACGGTAGATCGATAACCATGCTGTCCTCGTCGCTCGAGACGCTGATGGTCGCTTTCGGACACTGAATCGATATTTTTTTTCTTTCTAGTCCCTCGAGACGGTGATGGTCGTCGCCGAACGCCCGCTCACTAGATCGATATCTATACTTTCCACTGACGCTGACGGACGCTCGAAATGCTGACGGTTGTTGGTGGACGCTGCCGCAAGGTATGAACACGCCAGCCTTGGCTCGATGAAGGAACTCACAGTCCGAGGAGGGTATCGAGTGCTTTACCAAAAGTGCTAGAACCCTTCACATCCCTCGATTACCTTAGTGAGTTCCGATTCTGCTCTGATCTTTATGAGTTCTCCCTCGAGCTGCATAATTTTTGTCCTCATTTCAGCCAATTCCGCATTTTCGCGGTGAACGGATGAAGAGGATGAAGATCGACGAACTGGAAAGATGCAAGGCAATCTTACAATTACTCTTAGCAACAAAGTTACAGCCTTGCGCGCTGCGAGTGAAGCGGCGTGTCGGAATGACTAGTTTTGAGGCGGAGTCAAACCCGTGTTTTATCAGTTGCTGAAACGGCCAAGCGAGTTTTCCATCATTTGTTGTCACTTACCCGCTCCAGCAACTGGAAAAGAAAGGGCATGGCACGAGTCAAATCTGCGTGACAAGCTTCTTCATTCGCTGCGAACAAGAAAAATAGAAGGTAAGACTGACTGATAGAACTGCTTTGAATCTGTGAAGTACCGGAACGTGTATTTCCCGTGCTGCTTTTTCTATTTGCTGCTGCGGCTGTTGCTTGTAGATAACGCGGTTGTGCTCCCGGTACTGCCATCGTCGCTCTGCCAGTTCTCATTGAATCGGGAAGCGGTCTCATTACTGAACGGAAACTATGGTTCACATGGCTGCATAATATAAAAGGCACAGGTGATCCGTCCCTGTTGAGAGTCAGGAGATGACATATCACTGAAAACAGTGGGCAAGCTGGGGGTGGTTGTCGCCAGAGTCGTTGGTGGGAGGACTGAAGTGGTATGTGGCCAAACCCTCTCGCAGCCCTTCCTCCAAGCACGCTAGAAGCAACCGCCCACCATCGGCAGAGGGCACCGTTGCCTTCAAGAGGCTAATCACAAGGGGATCGGTGGCTAACTATTCTGAACGTTTCCAGGCACGTTGAACTCAGTTTCAAAGGGCAAAAATCACCTGAAGATCGAGAGGTAGTCGTCGAAAGAGCTAGCTTCTTTGCTACTGTTTTGTTTTGAAACCCTATGCTCCTCCGTTTCAGGCTTCGAGCTGCTTGTACAGTGGCGGGCACAGGTGGCACGGCTGAAACGCCAGCATTTTGAATGAATAGATCTCCATCATTGTAACTCCAATTGCACAGTAGCATACGGGCCCTTCAAACCGCGAACGAGGAGATTAAGAGATTTCGAAACTCGGCGATTTGAGACACTGATCGTGGGCAAAGATAATATCGCTCTGGCGAGTGCGACATTGAGTGATCCACCTATTCGGGAGAAAACGTGTCCTAGACTACCTGCTAAAGGGGGTATGTGACAAGAGGATCGTAATTTGCCGCGCTGCTGGGCGTCGCGTGCGACGTCCCGCCCGCAAAGGACGATGGTTTCAGGCAGTAGATGGCGACAACATGCAATTAAGGACCGAAAACAGTAATGAGTGTCTACGATGACGGGGTCTACATGAAGTCCGGTGCTTCATTCGACAGGTTAAAACGAGTTATGAAAACGCCGCGCCCATCGCCGCGCGTGGCGGTGCGGCGAATTACGATCCTCTTTACCGTCTCCCGCTGAAGGAGTGGATGAGTATCTATCGGCACCACCTCGAATCGCCGGATCGTGAAATATCTAGCATCTCGCAATTGTAGCCCGGGTTCACCATCGTTGTGCGAAATCAATAAGAGAGGAGTTTGTACTTGGCCGCTGGGGAAGGAGGTGGGGGTGGGTGCGTAAACGCGGGGACGTTGAGCGCCAATCAGCCACAAAAAGTGTCATCGCTGGTTTTGACCGGGAGCGGCTGAGTCCCTATGGGCGGAAATCTGCAGAGGACTCGGATGTAAGGAAGGCTACAAAATATTTAAACAGTTGACTAACATTGAATAAAGCAGTACCAATAGTTAGCACGAACTCGTAACTACGGAGATGGCTAAATAATACATCTCAAACAGATTCTGCGTATCGATCTCCAAACCTTAATTAAACATCGGCTCGCATGGACAAAATCACCTAAAATCGGGAGTTACACCCTTACACACTCTTGGATAGAGGTTAATTTGCAGTGGACACTTCGCCAAATCGAAATTGGATAAACCAGTGTTAGTCGGATCCAATTGAATTTGTGTTTTGAAGGCATACTGAAGTTCGCCAATGAGTATCTTTACAATGGCACAGAAGAAGTCCGAGCTTTTGAGTGGCTCAGAATTTCGCCCAAAGGTGACCCATCTGAAATATCTTCTAAGCTAGCAGGATCGTCGGGAAAACTGTAGAGCTTGTTGGGAAGAGGAAATATCCGATGGCGTTCCTAGTTTTGCAAAAGATTGCGTTTGAAAGAAGTTATTCTCGTCTGAAGCATAAAAACCCGCTCGCGATTACCACTAACGCGTCCGTAACCCATCCGAAATATTTCACGAACGGGAGAAGATTCAGACTTGCGAGAAGATAGAAAACGCAAAAGGAGGGTATGGCTTCGAAATGCTGCCTTCCCCTTCTTTCGAAAGCCCCACACCCAAAAAAGCCATCTCCCAGGAAAAGCCCGCGATTTCCACCCAACCAACAGATCTGCTCCACCTTTAAATTGCCATGGAATCATAACGCGGCTGCCAGCGCAGCGTTACGTTATCTAATCCATCCCGTCAGGGCGAACAATTAGAGCCGAAAAGGGGAGGGGTCGTACCAGGATCCTTTCCTGGGGAGGGGGGGGTCGTTCTGACGCCGCCATTTCACACATCACGGTGCTGTGCTTTGCTGTCGCTAGCGACCGGCACCGATGGATACCCATCCACTAGTTTGATGGGCTCTCGCAAGAAAGGCTGCCTTCCAATTCGCCGGAACACTGAATCTCCCAAATCGGCAGATCGATACATACCCTCCTAGTCGCGCGATCTCGCTACTGAGGAGATGGCAAGTTTTTCAAATCGCCGAACCTCCTCAGCAGCGAACTATAAAAACAGCCTCTAATGATCCTTCAGTCAAATCGCACCGATATCCCGACGTTCTGAGCTTGAGTTGATAATTTTCTCGAGTTTTGATTGCGTACTAAACAAATAAGAGGACAAGAAAGAACTCGAATTCTGAGTGGTCGGTGAGCTGCATTTCCGGAAACGCCATTTGAAAAGCTTCAGCTGCGAACCGCTCTCATCGGAACAAACGAACGGGAGAAACATAACTGTAACTGGTTTTCGTACCTTTTCCAGGAGTCGGCCTTGGGATGTTCGATCGTGAGCTGCCGAGTACTTTCGGCTTTGGCGTAGCTAGATCTCCCTCCATTAGGAATTGCTGAAGTGAAAAATCTTAACTTGTGAACAAGTACCTCCATATCTCCGAGATGAGAGGGACGTGGCTGCCTGTTTCATTCGAGCATTCTTATGATACATTTTTCGTAAAACATTGCCAATGGGACAGCTGTCCAGAATGGTGATATCTTACCGGTACCGCACATGACACATGTACGGGAGTACGCATCCACGTCTTCTCAATCTCGGGATGAGGAGCATAACTGACAGGGAAGAACGAGGCAGAGTTCATATTCTGCTACCCCGGAGAATAGGAGAAGTATGCAAATGGAATAGGTAGGTATCGATCAATCCGCCTATCAACTTTTGCCTAGTTCGATTAATCGATACCTAAGCTCCCTTTGACGCGTTCTCCTATTTTCCGATCATCCCATTCTTCCGGGTTGCAAAGTATGACTGCACTCTAACTGACGGAAATCAACATGATAAGTAAGTTCAATTATTAGAGCAAAAGCCGAGGCTTCTCAAAACAAGTAAGCTCCGAGGCTACTTCACGATTACAAGTGCCCACTAATCCACGCAAGTTTTTAACACACGAAATGTTTGGGTTTCTCACGAGTTCGGTTCCCACGCCATTTCTCCGTTGTTTTTTTTATTCTGGACGCCCGCACCATTTTTGCTTAAGCCCCGAAACGAGGGAGATCCTCTGCTCCGGAGCCAAGGCAGAGGCAGATTTCCTCCTCTAATCGTTTAGGTAAAAGAAATATATTTGTAGTAATTTTAAAAAGCCGCGGTGCTTTCAGAAAAAATCCGTACTTGTGCTGAATCCAATCACAAGAGCGTCACATTAAAAAAGAGGATAAGTCAAAACTTGAGACACATATCACCCGGACTTACAAAAATCGTTAAAATCGAATCACGACTGGAACTGGTTCATAATTTCCGTTTTCCCGCCTAAACTCTTCTTTGTCGTGATTGCGGATGACTTCGCTGATTCAACGCCCGTCTTCAAGAAGCGTCTGAGGGCGCTTCATTTGAGGCGGGTTAAGGCCATTTTATTTACGGTATTCGATTCTGAATTTTAACAGTACTCCTCTTATCACATTGTTTGAAGCACTGCCAGCACTTTTATGTAGCTTTTCATCAGGTCCTACCACCCGGACCTTATCCCCATTCTCTGCGAGAGCGCCAGCTTACAAATTCACTGCTACGACTTGTTTATCTTACCGCGTTTTAACATG